CCGTGATGACGGTGCCCCCACCTCCGATCGAAAACCCCGCATGACCAAATGAATCTACCGCCTTATTGGAACTGACCAAAACATTAGTCAATCTGATTCAGGAAAGCAAAAAAGAACAGCGGGAACACAATGCTCGAATAAAGGCGATGATGAGGTCGATGCGACTGATAGCGGTACGTGCCGCCCTGATCCAACACGGGCTGGCTATGACACCCCCTCCCGCAGGGATCCCTGACAATCTGAACGTCTGTTACACGTGTCATCAACCAGGGCACATAGCCCGAGATTGCCCCCATCGACCTCCGCAACCACGAGTCGGGGCTGCACCGGTCGCAGCAGCCCCAATCGCTAACGGACCCAGACGAGTAGGGGCGCTGATGGAAGAAATGGAAGGAGTTGGAAGCGCAGTAGCCAACACAGAAGAGGCCGTTGAGCTTATTCCGTTGGATCAGTATGTAACGCTTGGTTATCCGGGGCTCGGGATGATTGGAACGATTAGACCCGCGCCAGAACAGAGGGAAGTGGCGGAATGGCGACCTTCTCCAGGGGAGATGGAGTCGGGAGGACCCACCTTCGTCACCGGAGAAATCGATGTTCTAAACATTGTGCGAGCCTTAGATCATCGGATTCCTCTTCCGATCGGTCATCTACTCTCGATATTAAAACAAGCCAACGAACGCATGTTGCAACACTGCAAAGCGAATCGAAAATGGTTCGCCCTCGCCCGGACAGCAAACACGAAAGCAAAAAGTCCAACACAAGACGAAAATGTTGTTGGTACTTCAGACCCAATACGGTTAGGATTAATCCAGAAGGACGATCACTTCCTACGGATTAAACCAATCCCATGGAAATCCGCAGAATGCGATATCGAGGTATGGGGAATCTCGTACAATGCTATTATCGATTCTGGAGCCGCTGTTTTGACCATCTCATTACGGGTAGTTGAAAGGGTAGGAAGAAAGAACGATCTAATTATGCTTGCGGAAAAAGATCAGCTCGTTTCAGCAGATGAAGAGAAAATTAAAACAGTAGGGCGAATGACTAATTTTGCTTTTCGATTGGGGAAGGTACATGCTCTGGGAGATGTCGTAGTCTTAAACGTGAACACTTACGACGTCCTTTTTGGCCTTCCCGCTCTTGTGGCCTTGCGAGCCAACTTGGACTTCGAGAGGCGATCGATTGTCCTCTGAAATACAGGAGGAAAGCCTTATGTTGTACCTATGAGGCTGACCCTTTGTACCACCGCTAACGTGACCCCGCGAGTTTCTCCAATAATGGCGAGAACTCTTCGCGTGATCACCTGGGACAACTCCGCAGACGGTGAGCAATCATCGAGGGATGCGGACAGGAGTGACGAGGACGATCCAGTAATCCTGGAACTGGCGCGACAGCGTATCGGTTACCCTGTGCAACGAGCGAACGCGATACCATTGAGCCTGACTGATCGAAATCTACAAAGAACACAAGCGATGATTCTGGGCGAACCTCTCGTACAGATATCGAGGATGGGCGATTCTTTGGAACCCCCTCGAACCCTGTACGAAGGTATCTCCCCTCTCCTCGCACGATATAACGACAAAAGACACTTCTGCGACATCACAAATCTCCCACGATCTCTTTTGCCACCTGCAAAAAGGATACGATTGTTACGCTTAGGGGCGGAGGCCAATTCCTTGAAACCCCCTGAGCGCCTCGAAATTGGACTCGGAATCAAAATCGCAACGAAACCCGTGCCATGGCAGGATATTCGCGACGGAATAACGCCGGAGGAACAGGTGGCCATTCAGGAACAAGATGCGCAAATGATGGCTACGATATTTTCCTGGCGATCGGACAATTCTTTCATTTTTGCACCCCCACCCGAACCCACCAAACGAGTAACACGAAACAGATCGATGTACAGATATGGGACCAGTCGTACGAGCTGCACGTGCCCCATTACGTACCCGACGAGATTCATCACCTAATCGCAGACATTCTGAAAAAATACCAAGGAGCGATTAGCGTGACAGACACGGATATCGGACAATCGTTAGTTATACAACACGAGATTCAGACCGGAAACCATCCCTCGATCCACTGCAAACCCTACAGGTATTCCCTGGTGGAGCGGAAGACCGCCCTCCAGCGGATTCGAGAGTTCGAAGCTAACGGATGGATCGAACCCGCTACTGGGCCATGGTCGTTCCCGGTAGTGTTGGTGCCGAAAAAGAACGGATCGATTCGCATATGCATTGATTACCGCAAACTGGATGATATCACGATCAAGGATGTGTACCCCCTTCCCAGGACTGATGATTTGTTGGATGTGATTGGGTGTGCAAATTATTTTAGTAAATTTGATATTCGCCATGGTTTCCATCATATCCTGGTCAAGGAGGAAGATCGACCGAAAACGGCCTTCGTACTGTTTGAAGGCACGTGGCAGTGGGTTCGGTGTCCTATGGGGATTTGCAACGCGCCTGCCACGTTTCAGCGGGCTATGAATGTGACGTTTCAGAACTTCGTCAACAAGACGCGGCTAACTCAGGGGATGATTAACTTCTGCGTCATCGTGTACATGGACGACCTCCTGGTCTACTCGGAGACCTATCATGGGCACACACAGCATATCGAATGGACACTGGGGGCTCTGAGAGCTGCTGGGTTCAAGGTCGCGCTCGAAAAGAGCGAATTTTTCCTCTCGGAAATCTCGTTTTTGGGCTACCTGGTGACACGCGGGGGACTGCGACCAGATTCGAGAAAGGTCGCGGCGGTGAAAGACGCCCCTGTTCCCACGTCACTGACGCAGGTTCGAGCTTTCCTAGGACTAGCATCGTACTATCGTCGTTTCATCAAGGGCTTCACCGCAATTGCACGGCCTCTAACGAACTTACTACGGAAGGACCAGCCCCTCAGTTGGGACGCAGAGTGCGAGCAAGCCTTCACCACCCTCAAGGACGCCCTGGCTACAGCGCCTATTTTGATCAGGCCAGACCCTACGAAGCAGTTCATTTTCATCACGGACTGGCAGCCGGAGGCAATTTTTGTTATTCTAGCGCAGAAGGGGAACGGCGGCCGCGAACACGTCATCGAGTATGCTTCCCGCACAGTGCCAGACGAACGGAGAAACGATTCGGCCCCGCAAGGCGAGTGTTACGCCGTGGTCTGGGGAATTCAGCACTTCCATCCGTATCTTTACGGACAAAATTTTCTTATGGTGACTGATCACGAGCCGCTGCTAGCGCTGAAGAGGCTCACTAATTACACGGGCATGATTGGGCGATGGGCGGTGCGCCTACAGGAGTACAATTTCGACATCATTCATCGAAAGACAGAGAGGCACGGCAACGCGGACGGACTGACACGTCTGCACCGACCAGCTAAGGTACCTAAAGGTGAAGAAATCATCCCCTGGAAGGAACCGGAATCAACGAACGGGCCCAAGTACGGACAAGTGGCAGTTCTCCCACGTAGTGAGAAGCGGGCACGTGGCAACGGGTGACGTAGGTAATCCTACAACATCTTTCTCTCCCCTCTCACCTTCGTCCCTTCTCTCTCTTCCCGACAAATTTTGCTATTTTTGTGAAGCGATTTCACTCGTTTACTTTGTCCCTATGCATCCTAGTGGGGAGGGTTATGTCGAGTGGGTAGATCGTCGACAGTGTGTCGCGCGAGCCCATGGCTCTTGCATTCAGTATAGAAATGGCGATAAGCCTTGGCTGTGCCCCTTGTGTCGGGTCGATAAGATCCCGACCGAGGCCCGATTTCTCGACGCCACGTCAGAAGGGCTAGAGAAGACCCGAAAATTTAGAAGGGCCGAGGTATGGACAGATATTGCTTTAATTGCCACCTTGGTAGGTAACCCCCTCCAGGACTTCACTAAGGAGGACCGGAGGAGGGCCAACGAAAGGGCTCAGGACTATCGCTGGAACGAGGGTTGGTTGGAGAAACGGAAGACCGATGGTAGTGGGATTTGGATGGTAGTGCCGCACCCGTTCATGAGGTATGCCTGGGTTAAGACGGCGCATGAGGAAACTGCAGCCCATTTTGCCGTTCGGATCACGGAGGCGGCAATTGACAAAAATGAGTGGTATTGGTCCAATATTCGCGACGATGTGAAATTCATCGTCGCGAACTGTCAGGTCTGCGCCGCTGACAAGGCGCCGATTCATCCGCCAAGATCGATAGTGCCGACGGTAGTTGAACGACCTTTTCAGAGGGTTGGTATGAATACTACCGATATTGTGGTGCCCTCTGGACCTAATAGCTGTGAATACTCAATCTTACTGGTATTCGTAGACCACTTCTCGAAATGGATTGCGGCATATCCGTGTCGTACGCGACTGGCGGCTGAAATCGCGCGATACGTCAACCGTTTTCTCGGAATGCATCAGGATACGGAGGAGATCCTCACCGATAACGGGGCGAAATTCAGAGGAGAGGTTTTGAGGAACCTGGTCATACATGGCGTCGCCATTCGGAATACTGCGCCTCACATGTCACAATCCAACGGGCTGGTAGAGAATGCAAATAGGGTGATAAAGACAGCGCTGCGACGAAACATCGTGGCACGGGATCCGAGGCCCTGGCCCGATATTGTAGATCACATCTTGGCGATCCATCGAGGGACGCCCCACGAATCGACGGGCCTGAGCCCCTTTCAATTACGGACCAATAGTGTGTTCTGCGTTTCAATACCGAGCCTCCCAGATGAATCTTCGTTGAACCGACGGCCCACGAGGGCCACGGTTCGAGACAAGGCCAAGCGGCACCTAGAGCTGATCGAGCGGTCCCTTCCTCAATTAGCCCGAAAACGCCAACGGATGACCGAGTTGGCCCAAGGCCGATAGGTCCGTAGCTACGAGGCCCAAAATGGGAATGCGGGTCCACGGCCCCAATATAAATTAGGGGACATCATGCAGGTAAGGAAATGTGCTCGCCAAGGTAAGCTAGCGCCACGATTCTTCGGGCGATTTCGCGTAGTCGAGCTTGGACCGAACGGCGTGAGCACCGTGCGGCTCGTGCCTGAGGTCTCCGGCAGCCGATCGGCTCGACCGATCACTCGCCACATGTCATATCTACGGCCTCTCCCATCCTCTCCATCTCCACCTTCGTCTGTCTCCTCCTCCGCTGTGGAAGAAGACGACGACTGCTTATCGCCCGCTTCTCCTTCTCTGTCTCGTTTTCCCTCAGATACTCCATCCCCATCACCATCGCCATGCGTTTTCTCACCGAACGAGTTCTCGGCGAGCACCTGCTGGCGCCACGTGACGACATCTCGGCGATCAGACAAGTCCACCACCCGCGGATCAGTCCGGATCTTCTACGCTTCGCGCAGTTCTTCAGCACCACGGGAGTGTACGCGGCGGCGGAATTTCGCTTTGCGGCCCATAGCCAGGCGCTCGTATTGGCTGAGGCATCGGCTTACCGGCGACTTTCAGTATTGGGAGTCAGCCACGTGTCCACCGTTGTTGTCTTCAGCGGAGATATCAGCACGGTGGATCCGCTACGACATACGGCTATTCGAGTATCGCGGAGGAGGTGGGGTGAGCAGCTGGCAGCGGAGTGGAGCCGATGGCTTGCGCGGCATGGTGACAATCTTGTCCTCACCGACAGCATCGACGCCGGCGGGCTTTACACGTCTCGACGCGAACCAGCGGTAGCGCATCCGGAGCTCGTCCCTTTTCTGCGTCCTCAATGAACCGCTCCCAGTTCTCAACCTTTGCCCTCCCCTCTCTCTTTCCCACTTTCTGGCAGTCTGATCTCCACCCCCGTCTTTCTTTCTGTATCCAACCACTCGCCGTCCCTCTCATCGAGCCAAGACAGTGGCAGATCTGATGTGAGCACTACCTCACTCTTTCGCTGTGCCTGGTCAAAGTGGAACTGACGTGGATGCGGGATAGTGAGCATCGCACCAGAAGAGAGAGTGTTGAGCTGCTGATCATCCAAGCGAGGAGGACGGAAGTGGAGGGAGATCTCCTCGGGTTCGTCTTCGGATTGGTGCAGCCAGGCCATCGGCAGTTGATCGTGCGGGAGCTCACGGTCCCCTTCGCGCAGCTAATCGACGATCTCCCCGTCGATATCATCTCGCAATGCGACGAGAGCCCGATGTCGCACGTCCTCCAGCGGAGACTGACGCCCTACTTGCAGTGGTCGGCCTGCCTGGAAGAGCCGGGAGAGGACGACAGCCCGCCATTGCGATCGGAGTACTTGGATCCCAGGGGGATCATCAATATCCTCTTCTTCCAGCCCAGGACAGTGTCTGAAGACGAAGCCATAGCGGTAGAGGAGGAAGAAGAGGAGGACGAGGAGGAAGAAACCCCGGAGGAAGGAAGCTACAGTGAGTAGAGCGAGGAAGAACCGGGGGCGGGAAGTGAAGAAGACGAAGAAGAAGAAGAAGAAAAAGAAGAAGAAGAAGATCAGGAAGAGGAAGAAGAGGGATCTGAGTGGGAGAGTCTGGGTGAGGAGGCAGACCACGCCGATATCCAGGAGGAAGATCCCGAGGCAGCAACGCGGCGGAGGAAAGAGATCGCGGCCGGAAAACAACCGCTCAAATACGCAAGTAGCGCAGGTCTGCCAAACTCGGACGATCCAACCAAGGATCCAGAGCTGCCCAAGATCGAGGATGGGGACCCTGTTGCCGAGACTTCGAGCGCACCGGCGCGGAGGCGACGAAGCCGATCCCCCTCCCCCTTCACCCGTCCCCTAGTTCGCGCACGTACCAATGCGGGGCATCGGGCTTCGTCCCCGGTCGTTATCCCGCCGTCCCCTTGACTACCTCACCCTTCGCTAGATCACAATCCCGGTCTCCTTCCCTCACAACACCTTCCCCACCGATACCTTCCGCCACTTCTACGCTACCCGCCTCGCCGTCAGAGTACACCCCCACCCCTCTACTCGGTGTGCCACCCCTGTCTTCTGCCGCCATGTCCTTCTCTTCAGTGCCGCGTGGCGGGGCCACAACATGATCGAGGTCTACTGCACGGTCACGGGGACTATCCCCGCGTGCGAAAACCATGATCGGTTCCGCACGGCACTTTTCCGCACCTTCGCCACCCTGTACCCCGATTACCTCGCCTCTCTCCCTCATAGTGGTACCCGATTCCCCGGCTTCCATCGGATCATCCGTTAGCAGTGACGGTAGCGGAGATGGAACGCTTTCTACCCCCGCTTCCAACCAGCCCTCCTCCTCCTCATGCCCCCATGTACCGGCTTCCCTTTCCTCTTCCCGCTGGTCACTGATGCACGAAGGCATGGCATGTGCCACGACGATGGCACGCACGATCCCCTCCTTCGATTGAAGAGAGCCCTTCCTGAGGAATTGTGGGATAGAGCCACGAGTGCCACACTGGATGACGTCAGCACTCTTATCACATGGTATGTGGCAACGAAGAGAGCCCCGCGTGTCGATCGATTAGAAAAATCGACACGTGTCGCGATTCAAGCAAGCAAGAGCTTGCTTAAGATTGGAACCCCCAAGGCGTCACATATGTGACGAACCACTTTCTGTTTCGCGCGATTTCCTGCGCGATGATAATGAGGGGTCCTAAGATGGGAAGGTTGGGCCAATTACGGGAGATCGGGATCGAAGGGAAAATTGCATTGGTGTCCTCGCTTCTTCGTCTTTGTGCGTCGCTTCTTTTCGGATGGCTGGGTTCAGGGCTGGGCAAGTCCCCGGATGATCGGTTGAGTGGCTGGCTCGCCGACAAAAGCGCGAATAATACTGTGTGACGTCGCTTCTTTCTTGTTCTGTTGTCGGGTTTTTGGCGCGGTGATCGCGCGGGAGGTTTTGCTTCTTTTTTGAATTCTTTTTCAAATCTTGTCGAGCCTTTGATGGCTCTCGGAATTTCGGACGTTCTTTCGGGATTTGCTTTATTAAAGCTTTTTTTGTATTTTCGCATTAGATAGGAATTTAGGAATTCGGAATTTCTTTTGCCGCGTGGTGTTTTCGTCCCCACGCTTCTTTTTGCGGCTACAACGGAGCTCTGATTAGTCGGCGCCCTTAATCTTGCGTGTAACTGTAATTTGGGGCATGGCGCCTTTGCAACTGTATCTCTCTTCTTGAGCTTCGCCATTCCCGCCCTCTCTCTTCTTTGCTGTGTCTAGTTGGCCCGCGGGCTGCATGCTCGGATCGATGCGTGGAGGGTGGCTACGTCCCCCACGCCGCGATCTGGCCATGCAGAACGTAGGCACTCCCTCCCCTTCTCTCCTTCTAAAGTCCTTGCAATTTCGTGTTCTTCGCGCATGCATGCACGCTATAAATTCCGGTTGCGCGATTAGATCTCTCTCTTAAACAGTTGCTGGAAGCTCGGGGTAGCGCGATCAGTGAGGGTCGGCTCACGAGCGAAGTAAGAGGTGAGTTGAAGTGGGAGTTGGATCTAGATGTGTATAAGAGACAGCATGTACACCTCCCCAAGTAAAAAAAAAAAAAAAGTGAAAAAAAAAATTATGAACTGTGAGGATAAAAAAAAAAAAAAAAAAAAACAGATGCAAAGGACACAAACTGTTGCATTTTGTTGTTTTGTCCTTTGACGGCACACAGTACAACACAGCGCACAACATGTGCTGTGTGTTCCATAATATTCTGTCAGTCGTTGTGCATGGACTGGCTGCCCGCAAACTTAGAAAAGAGTGTGGGGCTGATGGCAATGGAGGCATCAAGGCATCCCATTGCTTTTGCAAGCCGGAGCTTTGCAGCGGTCCATTATGAATTTCTGAGCCACTTGACCTTTTGCATTGAAGTAAGTGCAACTCACCTCAACGGTCATGGACTCTAGCTCATGCCGTTTTTATTTTTTTTTTCTCCATTACGACGCCATTATAACGGGGTACGATGGTGGGGGGGGTTCAAACTTAAAATGCGGTGACGAAGGCCCATCGAAAGGTCTGTTTTTTTTTAATCTTTTTTTTTCCCTTCAAGACGGGTGAACCGCCATGAGCGGCAATGCAATGGGGGTCAGGGGGAAAGGGGTCTATGGGTGCGGGGGGTAGGGTGAGGAAGGGGGTTGGTTGTTGAAAATTGAAATGCGGTATCGAAGGCCCGTTGTAGGATCTGGTTTTTCCATGGGTGTTGTATGCTGGTCTAGACTTCACGTTGGTTGCTTGCTGTTGTTGGCTTTGGTCGCTTTGATGATCTCCCCCAGCCTACATATTTCACACATTCTATTCACTTCCTACGGTAGTGCATGTGGTAGAACCCTCCAGTCTCATACTGTAGGTCACAGGTTCGAGTCCGGTCCTGGACTTTGGGAGGGGTCCTGTCCAGATAGGCCTGTCTCTACAGCATGTTACATCACACACATGATAGACACCACCCACACACGAGACACTACCCCAGATTCACACACACACACACATGATAGACACTACCCAAGATACTGACTACAGGTATAACCACGATAGGCTGATCGGAGGGATGAGGTTGGGGGCTAGTGGAAGGACGGATGATGCCCCACGACCTACTGAGTCTGTAGTCTGTCCCTTCCGATCCCTATAGGAAGTACCTAGCCGATGACCGGATTCTGCTGATGGGTGGGAGACAGTCTGTACTGAGGATAGAGCAAGTAGGCATGGGGTCCTTTTGGGGGGGAGGAGTCTCAGCCGATGATCGGGGATCTGGAGGAGGGCTGTCTATTCGTTGGCAGCAGATTAAGGGCGCATAGGGTCGCCCCTCCGCTGCGTCGAGGCAAGGTGTTTCTAGGGCGCCTATACATACTACCTATACATGGCTCACACAAACACTGGTAGAGGTGATAAGAGCACCTCTCACTGGTATTCACTTCGCAGATGCTCCATGGTGGGGAGCAACGTCTGCTACGGGTCCACGCACATTACAAAACATACACATAGCCTGCGGGCACATACCTACAATACAGGACACTCACACATACATAACCATAGGGCTGGGAGGAGGCCACAACCAACTAATAATAGGCGTCTCAATGATAAGAGAGGGCATGTGTTACTACTACTTAGGGGCTAATAGGTGATTGCTTGAGCCTGGCGTCCGAAGTTCCCGTACGACGAGGCTCGTTCGACTACTCTTCCACCAAGGCTGGGTCACTAGCCCTGGTGCCTGTCACTACTGTTCGGTCCAAGTTCCCCTCGATGGTAGGGTAATGGTCCTGAGTGCTGGTCACACTGAGGTAGGATGGTAGGAATAGGGGGTGCGCTGGGAGTATTGACATGAGGATGGGATGGGAGGTAGCCCCGTCTCTTCAGGGCAATCATGGCTGACAGCTTCCGGCGATCAATGTGAGCCTAGTAACTGGCCTCTACAACACCCTGGACTTATATGGAAAAAAAAAAAAAAAAAGGATCTGTTTTTTTTTTCTTTTTTACTTTCTTTACGATGGGTGAACCTCCATGAGCGGCAATGCAATGGGGGCTTGGGGGAAAGGGGTCAACGTGTAGGGGCATCGTAGCCTCGTAGGGTCTGTTTTTCTTTCTTTCTTTCTTTCTTTGAGACGGGTGAACCGCCATGAGCGGCAATGCAGTGGGGGTTTGGGGGAAAGGGGTCAAGGAGTGGCGGGAGAGAGAGAGAGAGAGAGAGAGAGAGAGAGAGAGAGAGAGAGAGCGGAGGTTGATGGACGTGGAGTTGTAATTTTCTTTGTATTTTCCTTTGCTTTTGTATATAAGTTTTGATTGCGGTCTGGGCAAGTCGCCCTTATTTTCTTTCGTCATTTCTGTCTCGATGTTGTCCCTCATTTGGCGTCTCGCTCAGTCTCGATCCTTCCTCCTTTGTGTATATTGGATGGACGAATTTTTATGGGACGCTATGCTTGTCATTTTTGTTTTATCACCATCGTTGTTGTCACTTTGATCTGTTGTCGTCACGATATGAGTTTGACGTTGTTGCGGTGTCTGATGCATGCGATGTCATTTTGTATGGTCGGAAATGATTGTTTGCGGGATCACTGAATGATTAAATGATTGGGTGATTATCCATGCCATGTGGCAATTTTGCATATAGGACCACAGCCTCATTTTTGCACAAAAACCAGCCAACAGGGCCGAACACCTCGTGTGCGCACGTGTAAACGCGATCTGATTTATGCGGTCTACACGTGTCCACACGCTGGCGATTCGCGATCACTTACGAGCTTGGCACCTCCTGTATTGGGATAGGCGCGAAATTTCCTGTTTGCAAGCATCTGAGCTGATAGGAATTTCCGACACCATACTTAAAAATTCTCTTGTCAACCGAAGTGCAATCGGAGGCATGCGGAGAATTCTCACTACGCCCTAGCTAGTGACCCGCAGAATGACAAGATGTCGTGCATCGCGGACCAGGGATACTTAGAACACTGGGAGGAAGAATATCTTAGGCAGAGATATCCGGAATTTCCCTGTCTAACCGAGAACCGACTGTGCGCCAGGGACTTTCGCCGTGCCGTAACCAGCGACCCAAGGTGTCCCGACTACCCGACTACTTATAATACGCAATATTTCATATCCCCCGGCTTCGTTGTTATCGCCACAAATTTCCCTCCCTTCCATTTTCTCCTCCCCTACCACCAACTCACAGTGTTGCCGTGGAATTCCATAGCCCCGTACTGGCCCCATATGCCGTGTAGAAATTGCAGACGACGCGGCAACTGCCGATCCTTCGGAACTCCGGAGCCTAGCCATAACGCGCGCCGACAATCGACACGTATCCACACTCGGAGGTCCGACCCATAGAACTCGCAACTCACACAGTGAACCCCTTAGCGACCCGAGGTGTCCCGACTACCCGACTACTTATAAGACACAATGTTTCATATCCCTCGGCTTCGTTGTTATCGCCACAAATTTCCCTCCCTTCCATCTTCTCCTCCCCTACCACCAACTCACAGTGGTGCCGTGGAATTCCATAGCCCCGTACTGGCCCCATACGCCGTGTAGAAATTGCAGACGACGCGGCAACCGCCGATCCTTCGGAACTCCGGAGCCTAGACATAGCGTGCGCCGACAATCGACACGTATCCACACTCGGAGGTCCGACCCATAGAACTCACAACTCACACAGCGAACCCCTTCTGGACCGCTGCCACTGAAACAGGCGGACCGGACGGCCTGAGATGCACCGCGCATACCATCTGCCTTATGCTGCACGACATCGACCGCCACCGGACCGAACGTAACCCGTCCCTTAGCCTTTATTGCACCTATGCCCGTGAACCCTCGCCACAGGAGATCTCAGTTCTGACCTGGGACTCTACCCCCACTTTCCCAAAAATCCTTGGCACACCCCTTTTCGCACTTCCAGGCCCACATCCCACTTCGATCAGGAAGTCGCGCCGGGTGTGAGGTTGGGCGTCACAGGGCGAGGACGATCAGGCCCAGATCACAAGGGACTACAAACTCCTCTCACATGAATGGATGACCATCGACGGCTCGGTCCAGCTGTGACCTCTGTCAGAATTCAGCGACACCTTTCCCCCACAACCTTATTCCCTGGTGGGTCTTCAGTGGTATTGGGAGTGGCGTATAGCCAGGGCTAGGCAGATGAGTAGGTGGCGCCATGTGGGCTGATGACGCTATCCTTCTCCCCATCCCCATTCTCAGTAGAGGGATGCAACATGGTGTATGGGTGTGTGCGATTTTGTTGTATCAATGAGACGCTGGACCCGGTTTCCAGCAGGTGTTGCTCCCCACCAATAAGATCGGAGCCACGAACGCTGGGTTAGGACCAGGAGTTTCTCTGGATCACCCCTGGGCACTACCCCCGGCGTTTTTTTTTTTTTTTTTTTTTTTTTTTTTCCCCAAAACAAAGCTTACTGGAGCAAAGATTTGCCGTTCACGACGATGGCGACTTTGTGTTCTACATGCAGCGCTCAGCGACAAGCTTCACAACAGTTCAAGAAAGTTCAACACAAAAGGCTCACTCACAATAACCACAGGGGCGAAGTCCCATTTGTATTGTATTCTATCATGGGACGCTGGACCTGGTTTCCAGCAGGTGATACTCCCCACCAATAGATTAGAGTCCCATGCAAGGATAGCTAGGGGTATATGCTTTCACCATTACCCCTAGCTGTGCCTTGTAAGTGTTAAAAAAAAAAAGAAAAAAAAAAAGAAACACCAGTACTTTTCCCAACCATTTTTCTCCAATGCGACCATGCTGCAAGTTTCGGGAGTCAGCCTAGTGGAGCAAAAGGGCTGGTCGTGCCAGCCAAAAAAGGGCCCGTACCGTTTTGTTTGTTTTTTGGCATGCTGGTGGAAATCCGCTTCGACAAAAGGAAGCCTCTGAGTACTTGTGACGTAAGAAATACTGGTCTTAGATAACAAACGGACAATATCTCTTGATCCGTAAAAGGGGACCTTGCCGGGTTGCCCCAAAGAACAGGAATTTCCAGAAGAGGGTTTAAATTTTCCCCATCCTCGGGAACTCACTCACCCTTCTTTGTCCCTTTTTTGTGCTTTTTTTCCCGCAAAAAAGTGTGTCTTAAATTACTCTGATTGCTATTGTTTATAATTTCCTTGTATGATATGATTTATGGGTGCGCAATGTGTGTGATTGCTCCAGTGTAGCCCAGTATGCAGATGCGGATGTGGTGAGCTGCTGCAATGACTATTTCTATGGGAATGACCCGCCACAACCCAACCAGGCTCCCGTCGGTCGGTGGGTGCCTCTGGGACCAGCGAAGACAGTAGGAATGTTCCAGAATTTTTACGGAGATACCAACTGCATGCTGAAGCGGGATGTGTTTCACAAGGTAAACCAAAAAGAAACAAGCGGAAATGGAAATGATTCAAAAATCATTCAGAAGTTCTGTGCCATCTGTTCTCTATAAACCGGGTAGCTAAGTGCGCCCAGGGTATTGTAGAGGCCGGTTACTAGACACACATTGATCGCCAGGAGCGATCAGCCATGGCCGTCCTGAGGGAACGAGGCTTACCTTCCCATCCCATCCTCACGTCAATACTCCTGGCGCACCCCCTATCTCTACTATCCTACCTCAGTGTGACCAGCACTCAGGACCATTTCCCTATCGAGGGGAACTTGGAACGGACAGCAGTGACAGGCACCAGGGCTAGCCATGACCCAGCCATGGTGGAAGCGGAATCGAACGAGCCTCGTCGCACGGGAACTTCGGACACCAGGCCCAAGCAATCTCCTACTAGCCCCTAAATTGACCAACTGGTAACTCACGCCCTCTACTCAATCCGGACCAACCAGTGACTCAAGCCCTCTACTCGCCCACCACAGCCCTAGTCTGCTACACACAGTCTAGCTGATTTTAAGGGGGGTACTTAGTCATCGAAACGCCTATCATCATCATTTAGTTGATCCAGACCAACCAGCGACTCACGCCCTCTATCATCATCAGTTAATCCAGACCAACCAGTGACTCACGCCCTCTACTCGCCCACCACAGCCCTAGTCTGCCACACGCAATCTAGCTGATTTGAAGGGGGGTACTTAGTCATCGAAACGCCTATCATCATCATTAGTTGATCCGGACCAACCAGCGACTCAGGGATACTTATCATCGAATGCCTATCATCATTATCAGTTGATCATAACCTCCTCGCAGCCCTATGATTGTGTATGTATGTATGTATGTATGTACTCTGTATCTTGGATATATGCCCATGGGCTATGTGTATGTTCGTAATGTGTATGTGGAGCCGGTTTCATTGCAGACACTGCTCCCGACCATGGAGCAGCTGCGAGGTAAGTACTGAGTACTGGTGAGAGGTGCTCTTACCACCTCCACTAGTACATGTGTGTGTGTGTACCTTGAGCTATGTGTGTATATGGTATGTGTGTATGGTATGTGATAGACTGTGTATCGTGGTTGTGCTATCTGGGTTGATATCTCTGTATGTGGGTGTATGTGGTAGAGACAGGCCTATCTGGACAGGACTCCCCCCAAGGTCCGGAACCGGACTCGAACCTGTGACCTACAGTATGAAACTGGAGGGTTCTACCACATGTACTTCCGCGGGAAGTGGATATAATGTGTGTAATGTCTGGGCTGGGGGAGATCATCAGAGCGACCAAGTCCAGTTGATGTAGCTCAGTGGTTAGAGCACCGGTTGGAAATGGGCATTGTGGTATGAGGTTGCGGGTTCAAATCCGCAGCCTTGCACATGGACACCGGCAGGGCGTTAGAATGACGCACGGCTGGACACACACCCCTTGGGATGACGCAGGTTAGCTAGTACAGACACTGTTTGCGCACCACCCAAGGGTTGTTCATGGTGTTGTATGTTGGTTCTGGGTTTCACATGGGTTCTTTGGGGGTGTTGGTATCGGGTGTTCTGTTGATCTCCCCAGTCTGGCATATCACACGTTCGTGCCATTTCCGCTAGTCGTTCACATTGTAGAGTCATTCGATTACACGTTACAAAGTCACGGGTTCGAGCTTGGTTCGGACCTTGGGGGGGTCCTTGTCCAGCTTACGCTGTTCTCTCTTCGATATACACACATGATGCTGCCTATAGGCCCTATACATCCTTTTTTTTTTTTTTTTTTTTTTT